TTATGTTGAAAGTTTCAAAGGACAAATATTTCAAACATAGCTATTGAGTGCAGAGAAGAGGTAAGCAAAGATTGTGAGAGAAAGGTAGGAGGAAAAAATAGATCAAAGACAATACAGATAAAAGTTGTGCGGACCTCAGGACACCTGGGTGGCTCAGTCAGTTAAGCGTCCAACTCTTGGTTTCAGCTCAGGTCATGATCTCACAATTCGTGACTTTGAGTCCCAAATCGGGCTCTCTGCTGACAGTGCAGACCCCACTCAGGATTCTCTCTCTCCCCTGTCTCTCTGTCCCTATCCCGCTCATGCTCTCTCTCTCTCTCAAAATAAACTTAAAAAAAAAATTTTTTTTTAAATAATACTTGTGCTGACTCATGGATGCCTTGTCCAACCAGCTCTGGTTGGCAAAATGTTTCTAATACGTATTTGTTCTGCAAGAAGATTTTGGAAAATTGGCAAGTTACCATGTACAATACCTCAAATCTTGACCCAATTTCTCCAGTATAGTCAGAGAAATTAATATCTATTTTCATTTCAATTATATCTATATAATCCCTCCAAGAAAATGGTGGGTGGTATAAGGGTCATATACCAAATGTAAATTATTTTGTAACAAACATCTCTATCCTTTTATGTCACAGATTACCCAGGAGTGATATTCAAAACACTTGACATCTGTATAGTACATATGAATTAATATGTAAGGCAGGATATATACTGAAAATTAACAATATTTATTTTTAGGGTGGCTCAGTTAAGCATCTGACTCTTGATTTTGGTTCAGATCATGATCTCAGAGTTCATGAGATCGAGCCCCATGTCAGGCTTTACACCGACAGCATGGAGTCTGCTTGGGATTCTCTCTCTCCCTCTCTCTCTCAGTCACTCCCCCACTCATGCTCTCTTTCTCTCAAATAGATAAACATTTAAAAAAAACAATATTTCCTTTTGTTTTCTAACCAAACTATGTATGGCAAAATATTGGATAAAGCTATAGCGCAAACCAGTCAGAAATCATGGTGATAATTTCCAGTCATTTGTGATGTTTATTAATTGTCACTGTGTCCTTGGTAGTTTGGGTTGCCAGTGAGTGCCTTCCTCTCTAAAGGCCATATACTCTGTCAGGGTGGCCCTTTCCTGTACCTGCAACTCGGTTCCTGTACTGCTTTCTGCCCTTGTCCCATCAAGAGAGGAGAGGTAGAGGCCTGCCTTTGTGGCTAGCCCCAAGTGTATCACCACCCCTTGAGGTATCTTAATGCTACCCCAGCTTTGTAAGTAGGCATTTCACTAACCTCTCTTCAGCCACCCTTTTTGAGGTGAGATGGTATCTTACTCTTCCTGTACTCAGAGCACCAGCCATAATGAGGTAAATGTTATGGAGTTCACCTCAGGATAATAAGAAAGGATTATGAAATATGTTAGAAACTGGGGAAGGCTAGATGTGATGAGGTTGAGAAGCTCTGTCCTGGAGCAAAATATAAGAATATATTGTAGGAAGAATAGATAACAAACTCCTCATAAACAACTTGAGGAGTCCAGGGCTGGACAGAGAGCAGGTCCATGCAAAGGGAACTGGGAGCCTCCTAGGAGGACAACTTGGCACATCTTGCTTGGGCTGAACTGACCTATCCCTGGGTAGGCATAAAGGACACATGCCATGCGTCCTGTGTACATGTCTGTCCCATCCTATGCAGCTGTGGGGAAGTTCACACTATGAAAATGGCCAGTTGGGGCTAGGGCCCTGGGCTCAGCCCCATAGATCCTGCATTTCTTGGGGGAGCTCAAGTTTCAGGCTCAGTAGAGAACTGAGGCTGGACATCACTCTATTCTAGCCTCTCCAGCATGGCGACAGGCCGGGGGGTAAAGGACTATATATCTCCATGTACAGTTTGAGATCCCAGGCCTGAGTGACAGCAAGGAGGGAGACCTCCACTTCCTTCCCTCTGAAGCTATAGAGAAAGAGGATGCTGCTGCCCAGGTGGACGAACGGTGGCCAGTTTTGACCAAACCTTCTCAGACCAGACTGTCTGGGAAAACAAAAACTACATGTGGCGGGAGGGGCAGCAGAGAACAGGTACTACCGCAGAGGGATTCTGGGAGTTTTGATCAGTCTTGGGTCTACTGGACTCCTTGAATGGAGTGAGCCCCTAGGTTGCTGGATGTACCATTGCAAAAGAGACTGCCTTTGGGAATGAACATTCCTACTGGTCTAAGATGTGTGCTTGAGTGACTTAAAATGAATATTGAAAAGATGTGATTTTATTATATGTACATCAGGCTCATAGAGCAGGGTGTATGGCTGCACTTCAGTGGCTCCCTATTTTCCTTGGAACAAAATCCAAACTTCTTGCCATGGCCTTCAAAGTCCTTAGACTCTAGGCCTTGTTCCCTCATCTCACCTCATCATTGCCCTTCCCCACCTGTGCTGTCATGCTACACCCAGACCTAATGACTTCTGTTTCCTCCAATACAAATACTCAGTCTCTCTCTTGCATGGTCAGTGATCCTGCTGACCTCCTGCCTGGATTCCATCCCTACTGCCCAACCTAAGCTCCCCCGACCTTACCTGCTGCAACTTGGCTCCTCAGATCTCACATCAGCTATGACTGCCCTTCATGACAGACCATGAAGGACTCATAGATTCAGGCAAAGGTGTCCCAATTAGGTTCATGCTCAGCATTATCTTGTGCCCCAGCATGAGGTTGTAGATTAAATTATGTCCCCCAGAAAGGATAGGTTGAAGTCTTAACCCTGGGTACCTGTGAATGTGACTTTCTCTGGAAATAGGGTCTTTGGAGTTTCAGTCAATTTAAGATGAGATTATACTGGATTAGGATGGGCCCAAATTTGATTACTGGTGCTCTTATAAGAGGAGGAAAATCTGGATAGACACACACACAAATGTGTATGCCATGTGACAATAGAGGCAGGAATTGGAGTTATGCATCTACAAGCCAAGAAATGTCAAAGACTGCCAGCAGCCACCAGAAGCTAAAGAGGCATGGAAGGATCCTTCCCTAAGCCTTCAGAGACAGCATGGCTGGCTCATACCTTCATGTCACACAAAGAACCTCAAAAGTGTGAGGGAATACACTTTATGGTTCTTAACACTAAATTTGTGGTCATTTGTTACAACAGCCCTAGGAACATGATATACAAGGTATGCAGGATTTTGGATTAGAATTACCTTTTTTTCTTTTTTTCTATCACTATAGTAACCTCCCATAGGCCAAAGACTATATCTGGCTTGTTCATCATTAATAACCCAGCTCCTGGCACACAAAATGTTCTATATTAAAGGTAAACTAAATATATGCTCCATAACTAAACAGGAAAAAAGATTCATCAACTGAGGGAAAATGGTTCTGTACAAAAAAGAAAAGAGAGAAAGAAAGAAAGAAAGAAAGAAAGAAAGAAAGAAAGAAAGAGAGAAGGAGGGAAAGAAGGAAAGAGGCAGGCAGGAAGGAAGGAGGGTGAAGGGAGGAGGAATCTTTTAGGCTGCATCACAAAAACAGCAAATACAGGGGCGCCTGGGTGGTTCAGTCGGTTGAGTATCCAACTTCCCCACAGGTCATGATCTCACACTTCATGAATTTGAGCCCCATATCAGGCCCACGTTGGTCTCTGTGCTGATAGCTCAGAGCCTGGAACGTGCTTCGGATTCTGTGTCTCCCTCTCTCTGCCCCTACTCTGCTTGCATTCTCTCTCTCAAAAACAAATAAACATTAAAAAAAAATTTTTTTTTTTTCCCTTGTATCTTTAAAATTTTTTTTTTTTTTTCAACGTTTATTTATTTTTGGGACAGAGAGAGACAGAGCATGAACGGGGGAGGGGCAGAGAGAGAGGGAGACACAGAGTCGGAAACAGGCTCCAGGCTCTGAGCCATCAGCCCAGAGCCCGACGCGGGGCTCGAACTCACGGACCGCGAGATCGTGACCTGGCTGAAGTCGGACGCTTAACCGACTGCGCCACCCAGGCGCCCCAAAAAAAAATTTTTTTTAAGAAATACAGCAAATACAAAGGAAAAAAAAGCATTTTTTGTGTTACTAAATATAGGTCACATGAAACTTTCTACTTCAATCTTTTTGACAAGGTATATGATAGCTGTTATGACAGTTTTTTAATACATCAAAGAATCCATTAAATTTTTTTCTCCCTTTATTTATTTTTAAGTCCAAGAGATGTCCTAGGGGCTGATCAT